GGAAAAGAGGCGTTCAGAATTCAAAGGCCAGACACCTTTGGTTTTAGGTGCCTCACGCTGCATCTCACTTGGCACCAGGGCTCTGCTGCCTGGGGCATGGCAGCCTCTTAGGTATTTGATACTTCATTTTGTACCTCTCTTAGGATAATGGAAGCAGGAAAAACCTTGGAGTGTTGTTTAGGGTTAGATGGGGGTAGGGAGTGACTCACTCAGCTCCTTTGTTTTATTATAGACAGCTAAGTTAGGTAGAAATAAAGTCTGGGCTGCGTAGTGAGTTCAGAGGCAGCCTGAACTATACACCAAGACCTTGTCTCAAAAAACCAAAAAGGGGGGGCTGGGGACTTAGCTCAGCGGCAAAAGCGCTTGCCCGGCAAGCACAAGGTCGTGAGTTCGGTTCCTGGTACCGGAGAAAAACCAAAAAAAAAAACAAAACAAAACAAAAAAAAAAACAAAAAGGGGGCTGGGGATTTAGCTTAGCGGCACAACGCCTGCCCAGCAAGCACAAGGTCATGAGTTCGATCCCTGGTACAGGAAAACAAAGAAACAAACAAAAGAAATATTATAGGGAGTCAGACAGGGTAGGCCCTTGAGAGGGAGTCAGTGCAGAGGATGAGAACACATTACAGCTGTGGCTGGAGGAGCATCCCTCGCAGGCCAGGCCTCAAGATAAAGATGGAATGACCAGGTCTCCATGTCTCCCAAGGGATAAGCAATAAAATGAAGATTACACTAGAATTGGTATCGCCTGGTCCAATAAAGTCTAGACAGACGTCAGTCAGCCAGGTGGGTGACCAAGATGTCCTGATCCATCCCTTCCTAAAAAGGTCCTTGTTCTTTCCTCCTACACTGGCCACGTGACCTGCTCCCCATTGGATCAATATTACCTAAGCGGCTGTATTTGTAATCTTATTGGTTGATCATAGTTTTGACCTATATTGTAGCCACCTCATGGTTTTGTACCTCCCTTGTGATTTTGCTCTATAAAACTTCCTCTGGGCAACCCACTTTCTTTTTCTTTTTTTTTTCCAGTACCGGGAATCGAACTCACGACCTTGCGCTTGCCAGGCAGGTGCTGTGCCGCTGAGCTAAATCTCCAGCCCCTCCTTTCTTTTTTTTTAAAGGAACAAAAACACATAAACATAAGAGCAAAATTCCAAAACAGTATGATAGGAGGGTAACAATGGTCAACATGTTGCCAGGTGCCGTGGCGCACGCCTGTAATCCCAGCACTTGGGAGGCTGAGGCAGGAGGATCATTTAGGTTGGCCTTAAACTCACTGTATAGCCCAGGCTGGCCTCGAACTCCCAATGATCCTCCTGCCTCAACCTCCCAAGTGCTGGGATTACAAGTGTGCACCACCACACTGAGCTCTAATTGCTAACAGACAAAATCTTATGGGAACTGAAAATACAGAACAACTTGGTTTTTTAATTGCAATCTCTGCAGAGGAGAGAGAAAAAATGAGAAATGCATTAGTCAGAATTTCCAGGTATTTTGTATGTGTGTGGTCCTGGGAGTTGAATACAGGGCCTTTACACTAAGTTATATACCCAGCCTCCTTACTCCTTTTTTTTTTCTTTTTTTGATTTTTTTCCAGTACCAGGGATTGAACTCACAACCTTGCGCTTGCTGGGCAGGCGCTGTGCCGCTGAGCTAAATCCCCAGCCCCCTTACTCCTTTTTTTGAGACAAGGTCTTGGTATGTAGTTTAGGCTGGTCTTGAACTAACTATGTAGCCCAAACTAGCCTCAACTTTCTGAGAATCCTAGTTTCAGCCTCCCAAGTGCTGGGATTATAGGTTTGCATCAGACATTTTCACTTTTATGGGAAGGGGATACAAGAAAGGAGAGGGGAGGGTAAGAAGGTAAAAATGATGAAGATGTGATATGTATAAGTATAAACCCCTGGGGGCTGGGGATATGGTTCAGTGGTAGAACTCTTGCCTTGCATGCACAAGGCCCTGGATTCGATCTCCAGCACCACATACATTATATATATATATAT